AAGCCGGTGTGGGCAGAAGGAGGCAGCCTCTAGGCGGCACCCAGGCCTGAGCCGGGGCGGGAGGGAACGTGGCCTGGGTGAGAGACCAGAACTTGGGACAGGGAGATGGCACCTCTCCCAGGGCAGGGCCCAGACACCCAGAGACAGGGCAGTGTGACCAAGCTCCTCCCGCTACCTGGCGGGAGGCCCAGGGGCAGTAGCCAGTGGGCTGACACCCCCGGGGCTGTAGCACTGCCTTCCTGGGCTAGCTCCACTCTACCTGGCTCTCTGACCTGGGCCAGTCCCTTCCTACCTGGGCTTCACCTCCTCAGGCACCGACAGCCTGGGCAGGGCTTTCACGGAGCACAGGGAGAGGAGGACAAGTGGGAAAGGGGCCGAGGGGGGAGCATCCCAGCAGAGGGGTTTGGTTCGTGGGCCTAGCTCGGCACCCAGGGGGCTGTCCAACAGTCCCAGCAGGACAGCAGGGCTGAGGCGCCCTCTCCTACCCCCTACCCACGCAGCACCTGGCCCAGGAGTGCCTTTCCCCCCAGACACCCACCTGCAGGGGTGGGGTGGAGGGGCCCTGACGCCCTGAGAGCTAACCCTGCACCCCCAGTTTTAAGGCCACAACAAGCCTCAGCCACCCGGACCCAGAGGGGAGACGGCCATGGGGAGATGCTGGGTCCAGCCAGCCTGTTCTCCCCTGGGCTGCGTCTTCATGGGCCACCTACCAACACACAGATGCCAACATCCACAGGCACACAAACATACACAACACAGGGACGCTGACACAGGGGGGCTGACACACACGCAAACACACGCCTGTAAGTTACCCAGAGACACACAAAGGCACTCATTCCTTGCAGACCTCCTGGCGCAACACTAATGCACAGAGACTGGCACCCCCTGGGCACTCACAGGACACCCACATCCCCACATCCCCACATCCCCACATCCCCAGCAGGCCAGCTGCACACAGACACACGCACACCTCACCCCTGCCCGAGACGACCAGGGACCTCAGTGTCTCACTCAGGCACACTGGTGGCCTGGGCCAGCGGCCTCAAGTCAGGGCTGCCCGGGCCATGCCATCTCCCTCAGCAGTGCTCCCTGTCACTGCCCTGCCTTGCACTCTCTGTCCATGTCACCAGGTCCCCTCTCCAGACCAGAAACCCAGGGCCGCGTGTGTGCAGTTCAGTTCAGCTGACGTAAGTCAAGCACCTTTTCTGCACCGGACACTATGGATGTGGAGGTGAACATAGGACAGTCCCCATTGTGGACAGCCGGGCAGGGACAGGTGTGTCCAAAGGCCGTGTGAGGGAAGCAGGCCTGGGGCCAGGGGGCACGAGAGGCAGCACTGGCAGGTGGAAGGCCAGGGCTCCCAGTCTTAGGTCCTCCAGAGGAGCGTTCCAGAGTTTCCAATGCCAGGCCGTGTGCCAGTCAGTGAAACCAGGACCTCGGGGTGGACTCGGCACTGCTTCCTCCCAGACTCTGCTGGCTCGGACCTGCCGCCAGGCCTGGGAGGCTCTGTTGGTATATTCCGTCCACTGGGCAACGCCCGCTGAGGATTTCCAGGGCAGGCCCACCGTGCCGGCCAGAGGTTGGGATGGGGTGGGGAGGGGTTGGAAGGCTCAGAGGAGCTCACAGTCTAGTTGGGACCACAGACCCTGCACAGATGGGACCATTAAGGAACAATACCCGCAGGTGTGGTGGCAGCGTGTTCTGGGGACCTGGAGCCACTCATTTTGGACAGAGGCCTTGGCGGGCCAGGAAGGCAGCCAGACTGGTTGGTATCAGGAGACCCCGCTCTGGCCCTGGCTCGGCGCCCACCTGCTGTTGGTGATGATGGTATCAGGCCTGGCAGAGCAGTGAGACGGGCAGCGTTTGCCTCGGTTCCCGCCTGCCCCTGGCGTCGCTGCCTCTTCCCTGCAGCTGCCCCCACCAATACTCCAGGAGAAGCCCCTCCGCAGGTGCTTGTATGCCAACAGGGTCATCTGTAAGCTCCTTGCCGTTCAGAGGGTGAAAGGTAGACATTCAGGAGACACAGAATAGGGCTAGAGCGGTCCACGTGGCTAGCACCCCATAAGCGATCCTGTCACTCCTGAAGATGGGCATGCACGGGGACGTACACAGGCCCTCACGGGGGTGAGGTGCAGACCCAGCCTCACACATAGACACGTCTTACTGCACACGCAGACTCATACTTGCACACACTCGTGCCCAGAGATGTACCCACAGACACACAGACACACGGGCCCACACACATGCGCACACATGCACACCCAGAGACACATGGCCACATGCACACATGCGTGAAGACTCATCCTGGAAGGGGCCTCAGGAGTGATGCTGAGGAAAGGTCTAGATCCCGTCATGCCCAACTCGGGCTCCGACCCAGGGCCCAAGGACCGGAGCCCTTTCCCTGCTGGGGCATGAGCTCAGCGCCCAGGGAACAGCATGACCAGCAAGTGCCCCCGCCCCAGCCTACAAGGCCCCCCTCCTTCACCGGCCCTGGGACGCGCATCCAGTAGAGGAGGGCAGGGGTGGCCGCCCTACACAGCCTCCCGTCCAGGGCAACCCCTCGTGCCACGTACATAAGAAAGGCAGGCTCCACTCCACTGCCAAGACCAGTGTCCGACATGGGGATGCAAAATCGAGAAGCAGGCCTTCTCTGCCCCTTCAGAGGCAAGCCTCACCCCAGTTGGGCCTGGTCACCACTCCCCTGGCCTCAGAGATGCAGCTGGGGTGAGGGTAGGCCAGCCTGCTGGGTGGGGACTGAGCGCTCAGGAATCCAGATGCTTCAGGGCAGGGGTGGAGGTAGTGGGGGGGGGTCAATCTTCAGACTGCCAGGCCCAAGAACCCCATGCCGGGTCCCTTCAAATGAGGCACTGGAGGGAGGGGGGATACGACATCCCAGGAATCAGGTCAGGGGATCTGGGGGACCTGGGGGCTCCACCTCTGGCCCTTGCCCGGGGAACAGAGTTGCAAGCAGCAGGGTCTCACCTTCCTTGTCCTCTGCACTGGGCATTCACAGAGCTCACAAAGTCTCCCCCCTGCACCCCGTCCCCTTTAACTGACCCCAGCCTCCCCCCTCCCAGGGAGTCCCAGAGTCCGGGCAAGGCAGGGCTCCTGTGCCTGCTCCCTTCCTGGTAAAGCCATGGGTTGGAGCTCAGCCTGAAGTGAGAGACGGGGTGAGGGCAGACACACCGCAGGTGCAGCCAGGACAAGGCTGCGTGGCGCCGAGGTCCCTGGGGTGGCAGACACCGTTCAGAGTCCCCGTCTCTGCGGTAAAGAAGGTGCCGGCTGGCAGGTCGGATAGAAACTTGTGCTTTAATAGATCTCTGTGTGAGTGTGGGCGTGAGTGTGCGCGTCTGCAGGGCCTCAGCGGGCCTCTGTCCTTGTTCTCTGCTCATCCTCGCAGCCAACGGAGGCCCCTCCTGTGGGCCGCCCCTGCCCCGGGCACCCCGGCTGGCAGAGGTCAGTCTTTGGTACGATGCAGACACTTTGGTGTGCCAGGGGCGGGGCGGGGGGCCGAGCAGCTCTCATCATCTCTGCAGCGCCAAGAGGAAGACGGCCACGGGCCCCCAGAGCTGTGGGCGGGGCTGGTGGGGCACTCCGCTGCCCGGCATCACCACCACTGGACAGGAGAGAGGGAGACAGCCGGGCGCCAGTCAGTCTGGAGGACCAGGGAGCCGAAGGCAGGCGGGGGGAGGGGCTGTGGGAGGGCCTGTTACTTTCCCCCGCTCTCTGGGCACCTGAAGCAGACATTGCCCTCATGCACATAGACGCACATCAGCACAGACTTGAGGTGTGTGGTGTGGGAGTTAACTCAGCCTGCGGGGGTCCGGGTCCTGGCTCTGTGGCTAAGACATGGGCGTTCACTGGACCTCAGTGGGCCTCAGTTTTCCCATCTGTAAAATGAGTCTAATAGTAAGAGCCACCCCAGAGGACTGCTTTGAGGATTGAATGAGCTCATGCGTGTACAGGTTTTTGTATCTTGCCTGGTACATAGCGATTGCTCAGTAAACCTGAGCTGTTATGACTGCAAACATCTGGCCCCCGGGGGAGCACACGCTCACATCTGGGCCACGCACACAGAGATACGTGAAGACAGAAGCACAGGAGGCACTGCGGTACGAAGACAGCCAAGCACTCACAGGAGGGCAGGGTCTGGTCTAACTGTCCCACACACCCCACAGCCTGAGCCCGGCTGGAGCCTGCGTGTGCACCTCGTCACTGACGCACACAGCTGTCACCCAGCCTCTCCGAGCCCCCATTCACAGACACAGACACTCTCCTCCCCCTGACACAGGTGCCCACCCCCAAAGCCTCCCCCAGATCCACCCCCCTTTCAGTCATCACCTTTATTGGGATCTATCTGCTTCCGGGGACACTCTCCCTTCTTCAGTGTGACATCATCTATGGCGATATCTCCCAGGTAGCCTGAGCCTCGAACCCCCTCAAAAATAATCTGGGGTGGGGTCAGAGAGCAGGGAGCAGAGGTTAGGGAGGTTCTGCAAGACAGACTGCACCCCCTCCCTCAAGACCCTGGGAGCCCCCATCCCCACACCCTGCTGCTTTCCGCATCAGCTCCCAGGACTCCCAGGAACAACACGGGCCTTCCGAAGTGATTCCCGCCCAGAGCACCCGTCCAGGGGCTGGGAGTGCCTGTGAGGGGCTTGGGCCGG